ACAGACAGGCACACACACAACTAGTTTCCGATTCCACCCATTCGGTCCCAGACACACACACACACACAGAGGTAGTTTCTGATTCCACGCATTCGCGCTCTCTCTCCCTCCCTCCCACTCTCTCTCACACACACACATACACACACCCTGCCAGTTTCTGATTCCACGCATTCGGTCCCAGACACACATAACGGGGGGTGGGGGGGTGGGGGTTTAAGTCGGTAAATGAGTTGTGCGAATGCAGACGTTCCTGAAGCGACCTGGTTTGCACTGGGACCGATTCAGCCTCGGAAAGGCGTCCCTCATCTGGGTTTCTTTTGGGATGCATCTCCCTTTTGGGTTTCGGGTTGGCCAATTGCATTGGTCTTCCTGGTCTGGAAAGCCTTGCATGAGTACTGCTACGAAGTCTTCCGCTTTAAGCGCCGCAAGCGCCGCCTTTCACACACACACACACACACACACACAGCGCCTTCCCTCCGGACCAGCTACAATGGGCTGAGTTGTTCAAAACATCATGAAAGGCTCCGTTTTCTAAAAAAATAAACTGCTTGTTATGTAACCTTTTGAGAAGAAATATTTAAAAATGACCTCCTTATGGTTGTTGGAAGTCACTCCCTCCTTAGTTAGTGTCCAGGCAGCCTTGCTGGTGACAGTCTGGGGGGGCTGGAGTGGGGGTGGTAGTTTCAGTTACCCTTCACAGATTTTTAATCAAGTTTAGCCTATAGTTCTGACATCTGCTAATGGACCTCCCATCCAAATAAGAGGGAGTATGACACTGTCAGCTCTTTGAAGTAGTCCAGGCAAAAAGCACAAATCATGAGCACTACTATACCTTTAAGGTTACAATACAGGTAGTCCTTGACCCAAAGGTGCTTTTGCAGGTGGCAACTGGACTTGTGTGTGTGTATTTGTCGTGTATGTATTAGGTAACAATTATAAGTTGTGGTTAGCCGACAGCAGGTGTGGACGGCTGAGGAGAGCGAGGACTCAGACCAGGACCATTAGGGAGTGGACTGCTGCCTTCAGAGATTGTGGGGGCTGGCAGCATTGATGAGGAGGTTCCCAAGGAGCCTGTGCCAAATGCGCATGCACACAGAATTGCTCCGAGGAAAGAACAGTTGCACAGCATGGGTGACTCGGGAGTAAGGCTGTAAGGTAATGTGCAGCTGTGAAACAAACCTTCTTTGCAGAAGGCAAAGACGTTTTGAAACTCCAGCCTCGTGGAACAATCCAGTATCCTGAGTTTGTATTGCAAATGATTTCTTGTCTGTTATCTTGTGCTTAGGCTTAGGCTCATCACAGCTAATTATTTTGTAAAAGCATTATAAGGTTTTTGTTCCTTTTGAATTTGTGTTTGATTGACAGAAAAGGGCATGGGTCAGAAAATAAGTATGAACATGATTATTAATATATGAAATGGATATGAATAAAAAAGAACATTAGAACAGGGAGGGTAGGCACATTGGTGCGCTTATGCATGCCCCTTACAGACCTCTTAGGAATGGGGCAAGGTCAACAGTAGACTGTCTGATATTAAAGAGTTTGGGGTTAGTGGAAGAAACCATAGAGTCAGGTAGAGTATTCCAGGTATTGACCACTCTGTTGCTGAAGTCGTATTTCCTGCAAGGTATTTCCTTACCTTGAGTTTGTATCTATTGTGTGCTTGTGTATTGCTGTGGTTGAAGCTGAAGTAATCATTGACGGGTAGGGCATTGCAATGGATAATTTTATGTACTATGCTTAGGTCGGACCGAGGGTGGTGTAGTTCTAAGTTGTCTAGGCCTAAAATTTCAAGTCTGGTGGCATAAGGCATTCTGCAATGAGTAGAGGAGTGGAGAACTCTTCTCATGAAATATCTCTGGACTCTCTCAGTTGTATTAATGTCAGGTATGCAATGCGGATTCCAGACAGATGAGCTGTATTTCCTTTCGAAGAGTCTATACTGTCTCACTTCCTCACCCCTTTAATGACACTACAGTACTCCATCCCTAAAAATGTAGATTTATCTGAGAAACAAAACTTGTTCATATATTGAAATAGTTTAGAAGAAACTATAGAAAAGGGGTGTACATAGACTAATGTGTCCAGTAAAAAAAGATCTTGGGCAGTTTTAAAATATTTTTTGAATCAACTCTTCAAACTAGAACTTTGAGGATACTGTATATATGCTAGGAGCGGCCATCATTCTTGATTTGAAATTTAAACTCATAATTTAAAAATTATGTTTCAACAACGAAATCTGACTGCTCTCCTGTGCCCAGCTACCTGGATGTCAGTCTCACTGAAATTAGTGGAGCTTACTTTTGAGAGTTGAAAGAGGCATGAGTTAGCTAATAATCAGCAATTATTATTTTTCTTCCTCAATGAGAGCATCTAGCCACTTTTGGTTGAGCTTGTTGACCTGATATAGGGTTTCCTGCTTGAGCAAGGGTTGGAAAGGAAGAATTGGTCCCTTCCAACTCTATTAACTGAGCAAATGTAATAACTAACTTGCTTCTTGAATGAAAAACCATTAATGTTGAGGGTAGCCTGGAAAGTTTTTTTTAAAAAAAACCCTATAAGAAGGTAGAAATGGAGAACCAGTTGCATACTGTTTCCAAGAAAACTCCATTGTGGATTTCCATGAAGCCATTCAGCTCATAATGACATCTGTAAATTTTACTTTCCTGATGTTGGAAATGAATCCAAATAACAAAAACTTGGATCGGTGAAAACAGAGATTTTATTTGTTAAGCTGTTTGCAAAGAGTGGTAGGATCTCAGCTGACCTCAACATGAAGTTTGAGCCAAGAACCACACCTTAAGATTTCAATACATTACATTTTATAGTTTTTCTATCCCGGTGCCCCCATGCCAGAGGTGGTATTCAGCAGGTTCGGACCAGTTCTGGAGAACCAGTAGCAGAAATTTTGAGTAGTTTGGAGAACCGGCAAATACCACCTTTGACTGGAGATTTTACAGTATCCTTCCCCTGCCACGCCCACCAAGCCAAGCCCACAGAATCAGTAGTAAAATTTTTTGAATCCCACCACTGCCCCATGCCCCTCCTACATCGACCCAGTGACCAAGCACAGCTAATCTGAAACGCCTTATGGAGACCACTTCATCTCCTTCAACCTCTCCCAATGACCACCCATCACATATTTTGCCAACATAGCTTTTTCTTATCCTACTTGGCATTAAGGACTGTCCCTTCAGCAGGGCCTCTTTCTAACGGTCTGAGAACAAAGAAATATCTATTCCTAATACCACACTCATTACATATGAATGTTACATTCAGCACATCTTTTTAGAACAACATAATGATTATATGCATCTCTAACATAGTCACCTATGCAAAGTAAAAGTCTGGTAAACTTAAGCAGATGCTTTGAAAAACAAAATCTAACTTCAACAGATTAAAGAAAGTTAGGGCAATGGTTTATCTCTTCTCCTATTGTCCTCCTAATGGATCACTACCAATTCCTGGAGGAGATAGGGATGGTATTACTTGATACAGAAGGATGTAATTGATTGCAGGTACATGTTTAACAATGAGTAAATGCATTAGAAAATATATTTACAGAAGGATTACATCAAGATAGCAAATGTCTATAGAGCAACTATCTTCTTAATGCTCTACTATATTATTCTCTTCACCTACATTTTATTTTTGAATTTTCTTATTTCTAACACGGATCACCTCTGCTAATGATTGCTACATGCTTAACTCTGAACCTTGGACAGTAGAAGCTGCTCTTTCTGCTATTTGAAACACAATCACTGAATTTTACCCAGTTCTGACTTAGCAAGACTTGCTGCAATTTGTCTGTTGTCTGTTTCCCCAAGGGTTTACTTGAGGACATAAATTACTTGATCTGTATCCTCCCCAGTTATGCAAGGCATTTTTCCCCCTCTGCATCTAAACAAGAAAAATGCATTCCATCGCTCACCAGCCGAACAAAGGCTTAACTTTATAAACTTGCGTTTGATGGCATTTACTTACAGTTCATATTTATTCTATTTGTTACTTGTTTAACTTGCCTTTTCATCTAAAGGTTTCTAACTGGTGTACATGACTCTATGCCCTTACATTTTAAAACCCCAACTCTCCTGTAACGTAGATGAAATAGATTAAGGTCACCAAATATATTTACTTATTATTTATGCCATTTCTGTATTGCCTCAGTCCAAATGAGTTCTAATGAACTTTATGGATGGCATATTATACTATTTAGTGATACGGGTGTCAAACTCAATTTCATTGAGGGCTGCATCAGGTTGTTTTTTACCTCGGGGGACTGGGGTGGGGCATGGCCGGGGTGGGTATGACCAGGGTGGGCTTGGCCAGCTCGACATCACTCGTGTCAGGGGTACCTGTTTTGGCCTTGGCAGGGCTGGGGGGGATCATCCTGCAGCCCTCTGCCAAGCAAAGACAGAGCTCAGAAGGGCCAAGTGTGGCCCTCCCGGGCTCCGTTTTTAACCGTGACAGCCTTCTTCAGCATCCTGCCAGCAAAAATGGAGTTCAGGAGGGGGCTCTGTTTTCACTGGCAAAGGCATCATGGGCTGGAGCTTTGCTGTTTCCAGGAAGGTCCCACAGGCCAGATCTGGGCCACGGGCCTTGAGTTTGACACCGCTGTCCTAATCAAAGCCTGTGGGATTTCCTCCCGTGCTCCTTTCACCGTATCATGAAATAGAAAGATTGCTGATAGAATAGAATAGAATAGAATAGAATAGAATAGAATAGAATAGAATAGAATAGAATAGAATAGAATAATACCTTTATTGTCATTGCATTCCACGAATACAATGAAATTTGAAAGCTACTCCAGCACAGTGCCCCAAACACCACATCACAATCATGCTACAGGGTATTTAAAAATTAAAATAATTATAATAATAATAATAGGACTAAATCGCAAATGCACTGTTTGATTCAAAACAATTACTGCCTTGGAAAAGAAACTGTTCCTCATCTATTAGTCCTTATTCTAAGACACCTATAATGCCTCCCTGATGGTAACCGTTCGAAATATGAGGGTCCAGGATGAGAACGGTCTGTGGAGATTTTTAGTGCTCTAGAGAGGAGTCTGGTCTTCACAATCTCTTCCAAAGAAGAAAGAGAGCAACCGATGATTTTTTATGCTGTGTTTATAACTCTCTGGAGCATCTTCTTATCCACTGCAGAGCATCCAGCATGCCACACTGTTACACAGTGCCAAAATGCTCTCGATGGTAGACCGGTAAAAAGTAACCAGCAACTTCTCACCCAGACCACTCTTTTTCCGCAACCTCAGAAAGCGCAGGCGCTGTTGGGTCTTCTTTGCAATGGCCGTAATATGGGGTTTGAGCTAGAGCAGGGGTGTCAAACTGGTGGTCCGCGGGCCAGATGCATTCCGCACAGGCCACCCCCAGCCCAACTCCGCAAAGGGGAAAAAAGTCACAACATCGCGAGTTTGACACCCATGAGCTAGAGGTTGGGGGTTTTTTACCCAGACTTTAAGGGCCAATGGGCAGCCCCACAGAATCTATACCTTCAGTCTTTATATAAGAACAAGGATAGCATAGAGGTAGTCCTCAAATACAGGTAATCCTCAACTTACAACAGTTCATTCACTGACCTTTCAAAATTACAACGGCACTGAAAAAAGCGACTTATGACCGTTTTTCACACTTATGACCATTGCAGGTCATGTGATCAAAATTCAGAAGCTTGGCACCTGGTTTATCTAACCATTCTCCCAGCTGGGCTTCTGACGTAGTTATATTCTACCGCAGTTACTGTAGTATTAAGGTTTATTATGTGTATATCATACCAAATGTGTGTCTATGGATTTAATTATGCAGTATGTCTTTCAAATCCTTTGCCTTTCCACTGTTTCTTTTTTTTCCCCTTAGAGCTACCTGGGCCATTACATAGGACTGGGCCACCATGCAAAATTGCTAAATAGTTGGATTGGTTGGTTGGAGAACCTGACTATGCCCTCCGCATTGCCTGTGAAGATAACAGACACCATATTTGATGGTGTTGAGGTCCGAGTATATCAGCCACATGCACAGCTCAGCCAGAAGACGCTACACCGCAGCATCATCTACATCCATGGAGGAGGATGGGCTTTGTTAAATACAAGTAAGCAGGTCCAAAAGTGGAGCGGGACAACCCCCCACAGGACAACACGGCCACAGGACAATTCACTGAGGGGCAATTCAGCAATTCAATTTAATTATTTAAAATGTTGTTTTTTTAAATCATTTTAAGTTTCGTCATTCACATTTCATTTTGTTCCTCCTTGGGGATCCTTTCTTTAATGAATCCATTCCATTATTTCTTGGATATTAATGTAACTTTTATCCCGTGGTGAGTAGTCCCGTGGCAAGTTGGCCTCGGCAAGTTGTTATGGGATGCATGTCAGTGGTGGGATTCAAATTTTTTGTACTACCGGTTCTGTGGGTGAGGTTTGGTGGGCGTGGCAGGGAAAGGACACTGTAAAATCTCCAGTCAGAGGTGGTGTTTGCCAGTTCTCCGAACTACTCAAAATTTCCACTACCAGTTCTCCAGAACTGGTCAGAACCTGCTGAATACCCACCTCTGATGCATGTCCTTTTTCTTGGTCTTCCCTATTTTGCGATCACTAACTCTCTTCAGGTAGTCATGACTTAGCAATAATAATTGGGACTGGAATGTTTGTCGCTAAGCACTGCAGTAACTGTATAAAGCACGATGCCACATTGCCACATCACTTAGCAATGGCAATCCAGACGGTCCCCACTGCTGTTGCTAAACGAGGATTATGGTTTCTTAAGCGAAGAAATCCTCAGTTTCTTGCCAGCTTCAACAAGCAAAGTGAGTGGGGAAGCCAGCAGGGAAGATCACAAATAGCAATAGCATTTAGACTTATATACTGCTTTACAGTGCTTTTACAGCCCTCTCTAAGTGGTTTACAGTGTCAGCATCATGCCCCCAATAATCTGGGTCCTCATTTTACCCACCTCGGAAGGATGGAAGGGTGAGCCAACCTTGAGCCTGGTGAGATTCAATCTGCCAAATTGCAGGCAGCTGGCAGTCAGCAAAAGTAGACTGCAGTATTGCACTCTAACCACTGCACCACAGTGGCTCATGGTGATCATGTGACTACTAGATACTTCAACCCTCCTAAGTGCAAGCTGGTTGCCAAATGCCCAGATCATGAGATTATAACCACAGGAGCAGTGGATAGCTGGAGTTTGGAGGATTAGGCATAAGAACCATTCTGGTCACAAGAACTACTCATTCAGCAGCATTGTAGCTTTGACCTCTGAGTGGGTTAACGAAGAACTACTTGTACACGAGGGGTCCTTGGTGCTCTTGAGCCTGCTTGTTTTCTTGCAGATGTTTCATTACTCAAACTAGGTAACATAACTGCCATTGATGATGTTGCCTACTTTGGATAATAAACGTCCGCAAGAAAACAAGTAAGCTCAGAAAACACCAGAGTCCTCATGTCAACCCTGAGCTTCAAATAATCCCCTTTATTAGTACTACTTGTACAGTAGAAATTTGCCACACTTAGAGTTTGAACACAAAGGTGCTGTGGAACACAGAATCAGTCACATAGTACCTACTTTCAGGCTTTCAAAGAAGCTACATCTTTTCTCCCAAGAACACACGGCTGCCTTGTGCCGCTGCCTCATGATCCCTAGAAAAGATGCAGCTGCTTTAAAGTGAGCCCACCTACACCAACTGAAGCATCTTTCTGCTCTTGAATCCATAATCTAGTGGCAATCCATTTTCCCTAAGTTAGGTTGCTGAAATTACCCAAAGAAAACCAAGGACAGATTGTTAAATGAAAAGACATACACTACCACTTTTTAAAAATGTATTATTACCTTTTTAAAAGTGTATTATTAAATTTCTCTGTCACCCATCTCGCCTACAAGGTGACTCTGGACTTGGTTTCCAGAATTCTGTGGCCAGTTACCATAAAGTCCTAATTGGGTTGGTGGTTTTGATCTTGGGAGTTTCATTTTTTTCCTTTCTATTTTGAATCAGGGCTCGATTCGTTGTTCAGGATTTCCCTTTTTTTAAAAAAAAAATGGCAATCTCGGGATTCTCAAAAGTCCAACAGAAATCTGTTTATGCATCAATAATGTCATTTGCTGAATATATCTCTCTGAAAATATTATAAATAAAAATACCTATTCTCTGGACATTCTGCAACCGAACAGTCAGTATTAGCTTCTCTCTCATCCTTGGCTGTCTCTCCCTGCAGAAGGCTACTACAATCATTTCTGTGAGGTTATGGCTGAATCTCTGGATGCTGTAGTTGTCTCAATTAAGTAAGTAAGCAATCAATAATTAAGAAACTGGTACGGACTGGGTTTTATTGCCTTTTTATTGTTTGGAAAGATTCGAGAAGAGGAAAGAAAAAGAATTAAATTGCTACAGAGTAGAACTTAGAATATGGAGAAAGAAGGGTAAAGTTCTGGAACAACGCATACCTTTCAGCTGACCTCAGTTCTATACACTGATCATTGTAGCTTTCTTGGCAAGAGTAAACAAATGGTTCACCTTCATTCATGACAAATGGTTCCATCCATATTCATAGCTGTGCTAAAATAAGCTCTGATTTTAGCATTAAATACTGTATCCTAGGGTAAATCTTTGGTCATTAAATTACTTGGACCATAATGTGATGTATTTGGTTTTCACCTTAGCTTCTGAAGTCTTACCTTCAGCTTTGGATTCTTTTTGCCTCTTGTTGGTCAGTTAGGTAATTTGATGTAAATGTTCATCTTTGCTGGCATCTCAAATAGCAAAAACCTTCCTTGAAGGTATCTTGCTGCTCAGCGCTGAAGAAGCTTCTTGAATGAGAAGCAAAACGCCTTCAAGGAAAAAACAAAGAAAGTCCAATTGACTTTTGAAAAAAAAAAAAACCTTTGGGACAACCATGACTGGATGACTGAGAATCTCCATAGACATTTTACCAAAAGGATCTTGTTCAAGTTGTCTTCTGAGCTAACGAGATACCTGCTCCACCATTTTTATATGCTATAATTGTTTGACTATTAATTTGGATGAGCACTTTCAAGTCTTAGAATGATTTCCACCTTGAATGCGAGTGGACAATGTACCAACCCACCCAAAAGTGGGTTTTTCCTAGCAAAAATGTGTTAACATTTCCAATCAACCTAGGATAATTCTTTTCCATGTGTCTATTCTCCCACATTTACAAGAGCTTAATATAGGCAGGCTTTTCTCCACTCTGTTGGTGGAGTTTCAGATACCTTTTGTTAAAAAAAAAAATTTTTTAAAAGGGGGGTGGGAGAAAAAATACAAAGAGAGGCCAAAATGAAGCTATTGCATGAAAAGGTTTGTAGAGAGATAGATGATAAAATTAGAAGAAAATATAAAATATACCATTGGGAGAGAAAATATACCTTTATCTTTATATATCAATTTAGATTAGAACAAATATAAAGAAAACATCAAGACACCTTAATGCTTTAACCCTTTTATAACTATTATTAAAACCAGATTAAAGATTAGCTAAGGTAATTATGCAACAGAAATACAGACATGATTGAAGAGCTTAGAAACCATATTTTAGGGGAACCCAACCTTAGATATGGCAGGAAGCCATGTACAAAATTGTAATCCACAAATGCAGGCTGAATTTAATTTACTGTAACCACAGCCTTAGCTTATATTTAATTATTTTTGACACTGATACATAACCCCATAGTTTAAAACCAAATTATGGTTTTGTGTGTTTGTGCAAATCCAGCCTATGTATACATGCTTGTTTAAAGTATGATTGATTCCCTAATTAATATTTGTTGTCCAGATATTTCTTCTTTTTCTTCCTGTTCTACTTCCGACACTCAGAAGCTACACTGACATAGTTTAATTAAACTAGTTTCCAAATCAACCATTTTCCAGATTTCCACAATACAGTGATGCATATATTAATCAAAGAGCATGGATTTCTCCAACATGCTAAATCCTAATTAATGCAAGCTGAGCCAGCTTCACAAATAAATTTGCTAGGTCTTTAAAGCCACCTTGTGGAACCTAGACCTAATAAGGGTTAAGGGGCCCTGTGCCTTTTTTTTCTCTGTGAGAATATCATTCAAAGTAGTGACAAAACATCAACAACCAAGTATAAATATTATACATGTTCATCTCTTTGAAAGCAAACTCCACAAGAACAAACACTTGCCGGATTTGGTCTCCTAAGAATCTCCCGCACTCATTAGTTGCCTCATTATCTTACCACACTTGTTTTCCGGATCCGTGTGGGTTTTCCTAATCCAACTGCAATTGTATCTTTCCCCTGAAATCCACAGAGTTCAAAACCACAGAGAGAAAATATTAGACTGTGCAGAGATGGATAGATTGACATTAAAAATAAAGGACAAAGAAGACATAGAATTCGAAACATGGAATAGATTCTGTGAGTGGTTAGAGATAAGAGATAGAAATTAGAGATGAGAGATAGAAATTAGAAGAATTAAAGATTATTGCTATATATGAATTAAATATAAAAGATGGTTTATAATTATAAACATGCCAATATAATCAACAGAATTACAAATAAGCTAATATAAAGAAAATTTTAGTCAAAATAGTCTGTTACACTATTATTATCATTATGTTAACATTCTTTCTTTGTTTTTCTGTAAATGATATAACCTAACAGTACACTTTATTCAAAATGTTTATGAATAAAATATATGTATATACTAAAAAAACAACAACTTTGAAGAGATCTCTTACAAAGGACCTTCTCTGAATTTATAGCTAAAATGCTTTGAACTATTCAGACTTCAAGACTTGCTGCTGTCAAGCCCAGGCTCACGTTGCTTGTGTTTCCAAAGGTGAACCCATATTAAATTCTAGCTATAGGTAGAAAGCAAAGTCCTATGTTTGCATGAGAGAGGAGTGACACATTCTGGTTATTAGAAAGCTGGTTTTTTGTTAACTTGAGCAACCACCGTGTTTCTGAGCTTTTAAAAAGGAACTTTTTCCCCCATCTAAAGAACCAGTGAAGCATAAGTCATAGAATAGTTTTGATTGAAGAAGTAAGTTGTATGGCATGAACCATTTCGTCCAGCTTCTCCTTGTCTCAAAGATTAGTAAAGGATGAATAGATGTGTCCTTTCCCAACACCAGGTTGCATTTCCCTTGTGATGTTGGATGGATATGAGGCCCACCAGTACATTTAAAGAGGACCTGGTTGTAGATGTCAGAGTGATAGAGGCAAAGAGGAAGTGACTTCCTTTTTCTTAAAATAGTTAGCAATCTGTGACTCCTAAAACCATAGACATAACCTTCTGAATAAAATTTCCAAGGGATATCAATGTTAAACTCCTACTGAAATAGGAGGTGCGATAGCTGCTTTATTGAAGGGTTGAATTTTGTTTTTCTTGTTGTTACATAAAATTAAAGGCTTGTGTCTTCTGCTGGATAAAAGCAGGAGCTGGCTAAGACGAGAGGTTTCTTACAACAATAGCCCATTTCTAAAATTAGAAACAGAGGTGCCTTTCTCCCTTCCCGCAGCTGAAAACAAGCATTTCATCCTTGTCTAACTGAGAGCAGCTGGTGTCCTCTAGTGGCTTCATATTTGAACCGCAAATACTAGAAATGAAATTTAGCCTTTTTGAACCCTTTCCCTTATCAACAGAACAAATTATGATTTTCACGGCTTCCCACATTGCAAACCCAGGATGCGATTTGTTTAGTTTTGGCTTAATGAAACATCTGAATCCTGTTGCAGTTTACAAATCGTTACAAATCATCATTTGTAAGCTAGCCATGGTGATTTATTTAACAAACCACGTTTAAATGAAGTGTAGTGTATGGCGGTACATGAACCCAGCTTTTGAATGCGATCAGAAGTAAATATGTACCTGTTTTAGGTATCATCTAGTGTATTTTACATAGAGTAATTTTAAAGTGGTGTAATTCAACCATGCATTATTCATTATATCTCTATTTAGGATTAGTTTACATATCATATGGCCTTACACTTTTGACATGCCTTTATTATTCTAGCTTTTGGTACCTATTGGAGCAGTCCTGGCTTTGTATGTCAGCCCCTTCATAGTATATTATTTCCTATTTTTTTGCACTCCATTGTTCTATGCTCATTTTTGGCCACAATAATCTTTAAATTCGGGTTTAAAGGAAATGTGCTCCATTGTGTGGCTTGCACACTTAGGAGGCATTCTACAGGGTTTGGTTTGCAGTGAGATTTTTCTTTTTAAAATCCTATTGTCTTCCCATAAGACAGTCTCATTGATTTTGAAAAGACAAGTGGCGGCCTTGGCGTCAGTCGTCACTTATGAAGGTCTCCTATCCCTTTCCCATCATCCACACATAGAGTGTTTCCTTCGAGGAGCCACAAACTTACACCTGCCAACGGTTCACCGTTATCCCACTTGGGACCTTAACAAGGTCCTTCTTGCACTCACTAAGTGCCCTTTCGAGCCTTTGCAATCGTCAACTCTCCAATTTCTGACATATAAAGTAGTTTTTCTTGTAGCAATCACTTCCGCTTGTCGTATTTCGGAACTGGCAGCCTTGTCAATCAGACAAGATCTTTGCGTCTTCCATTCCGACAGGGTCGTCCTTCGTCCCGATCCTACGTTCATACCCAAAGTTAATTCAGCCTTTCACAGGGCACAAGAACTGATACTTCCTAATTTTTGTCCCAGGTCATCCCAAGGGCTGGAATGACAATGGCATCGGCTGGACGTGAGGCGAGCGTTACGAATATATATTCTCTGCACAGCCTCTTTCAGAAAAAGGCTTTATTTGTGTCTTTTCAGCCCAGCAATCAGGGATGCAAGGTCTCATCCTCCACAATAGGCTGTTGGCTACGGGCTGCAACAGCGCAAACGTATCAGACTCAATCACTTCAGGTGCCCAGGGGCATAACAGCTCCTTCAACAAGGAGAGCCGCAACATCGGCAGCATGGGCCACACAGGCACCAATCACTGACATCTGTCGTGCCGCAACCTGGGCCTCTCCATCGCCTTTCATTAGGCATTATAAAATAGATGTTTGCATCAGCCAAGGCCTCCTTTAGCAGAAGGGTTCTGCAACGGGTCCACAGGGACCAGGAGGGGATCCTAAGACAGACCGTAGGACAGGCCAAGCTTTGGTATGTCCCACTACTGGATGGTCTGAGCAGCTCGTGGGAGAAAGGGCGTTGGTACTTACCTGACATGCCCATTCTCCTTGAGCTGCGAAGAGCATCCAGCCCCACCCTCTTCCGTCTGGTGGGATCCTGTTTCGGCCAATGAATTTTTACAGTATTAAGGGTGAGAGTGTTTGTTTCTCTCGTCTTCGCCAAAACTGGGGAACACTGGGGAGGAGTCCCGTAGAGGAGGAGGAGCGTTCCGCAAATTAAGCCCAGCCTAGATGAGCAGAGACTGAAGCACCTCCCACTACTGGATGCTCTTCGCAGCTCAAGGAGAACGGGCGTGTCAGGTAAGTACCAACGCTGTTTTTCGTTGCAGTTACAGGTTAGTACCAGATTTCTACTTCCCGGCACAGTTCGATGATGTCCTCCGGGCCACCAAACATTTTTTGCTGCCAGATGTCCTTGCTCAATATTCTGTTGATCCTGCCAGAATTGCAGTTTCCGGTGATAGCGCAGGAGGCAATCTGGCTGCTGCTCTGTGCCAAGAGGTAAGAAAAGTTCTGGGTGACCTACACACAGATCCATCTTCAACTGTGCAGAAGGGGCCAGGATTGGGATTAAGCAAGGGCACATTTGTTTTGTATGGGAAGGATTTAGTGGTCAGTTCTTGACTGCTCCCATGAAAAAGGATTGGGAAAGGGGACAATTTCTGAAAAACCAGGATGGGTGGATGGATGGATGGATAGATAGATAGATGGATAGAAAGGTAGTTGAATAGAAAGATGGATGGATGGATAGATGGATGGACGGATAGATAGTTGGATAGAAAGATGGGTGGATGGATAGATAGATAGGTGGGTGGAGATAGACAGACAGACAGCTTAGATGGGTGGGTGGGTGGGTGGATGGATGGATGGATGAATGGATGGAGAGAGAGAGAGGGAGAGAAAGAGATAAATAGACGTGATAGATGGATGGATGGATAGAAAGATGGATGGATAGATGGATAGAAAGTTAGTTGGATAGAAGGATGGATGGATGGATAGATAGATGGGTGGGTGGGTGGGTAGATGGAGATAGATAAATAGATAGATAGACAGACAGACAGAAAGACAGACAGACAATGAAGGTACCAAGCTAGAAACTGGGAGGCCATGAGTTTTAGTCCCATCTTAAGCATGAAGCTATCTAGGTAACCTTGGTTCCAGTCCCTGTCTCAGCTTTAGGAAAAAGTAGCCATTTCTGAAATCTTGCCCCCAAAAAGTGTGTGTTTGTGTGTGAAAGTAGATTAGCTTTTATAAAGAAGATTCTATTCTGTCCTGAGACCAGCAAAGGCTATGAATGCCGCAGCTACAGGAGAGATCAGCCTTTGGAAGAATGCATTTTTAACCGAATAAAAACATTGTGCCGTTTTTCCCTCCCATTTTAGTTAAGAGGCTTAAAAGCACTTTCATCTTCCCTTCACAAAAGTCTAGCTTCTCCGTTTCTTTATTGGCAGTTCTTTGAATATTTTCATGTAGATGTCATAAAATTTGCTCTGTAAGACCCTTTTTCCAAGGGAAAAGTAAAGTGTAAGAGTTCTCTCATTGCTTCAATTCATGCACTCCATTAAAATAATAATAATTTGTGTAATCATTGAAAAAAATCACAGCTGACATAAGCCATATTTGTTTCATAAAAGCAATCTTCAATATGGCCAATGCTGACGTGATTACAGGTAGTCCTCGCTTAGTGACTGCTCGAAGCTATGACCAGGGGTGGGATTCTACCAGTTCGCACCTATTCGGTAGAACCGGTTGTTAACATTCTAAGCAGTTTGGAGAACCTGTTGTTAGAAGAAATTACTGGCCTAATCCTGTAAGAAAGGCAGGAAGGAAACATTCTGGTGTTGCTTACAGAAACTGCCTTTCCGTTAACCCTTATTACATTCTTGTCTCAGGAACTTCTCTGGAGTTTTTTCCCACTCCTTTGCTGGTACTTTGCTTGTGTGGAATGACCATTCAAAGTTACAATGGCACTGAAAAAAGTGACATGACCATTTTTCACACTTACGACTGTTGCAGCATCCCCACAGTCATGAGAGGCCAGTGCGAGGAGATGCGTGCCTCGATGTGAGTGATATTGAGTTGGCCACACCCAGCCAATAACATGACCACCAAGCCACATCCACCCAGTCACATGACCACCAAGCCACGCCCACCAACTAAGCCACACCCACAGAACCGGTTGTTAAAAAATTTGAATCCCATCCCTGGCTATAACAGACCCTCTCAAGAGCTACGTACAACCCAGCTTAAAGTTCTAAGAGCTGCGCATGCACACATGGTGTCACATGACCCCATGTGAGACACTTGGCAATTGGCACACTTTGATGGCCAGTTGCAGCATTCTGGGGTCACAATTATTCACGATATATGATGTTTTTTTGCCGGTTTTCTGGACTTTTAGACCAGTTTCCAGCAAAAGAAACAACAACCCCAAAACCCATAGGAGTAATAGACTTGCTTTACAACTACCACAAGCAACGTCATAAAATCAGGTCTGGTCACATGGGTGCCTTTGACTTTTGACTGTCATGACTTATGACAGAAATTCCAGGGCTCTATTACAGACGTTAAGTTGAGAACTCCCTGTTTATGCATGCCCCTTTTACTACTCTGAACTTTCTGTCTAGAACGGATATCAAACTCAATTTCATTGAAGGGCGCATCAGGGTTGTGTTTGACCTGGGGGGGCGTGGCCAGCTCGATGTCACTCATGTCAGGGGCACCTGTGGTGGCCAAATACTAAGGCAGGACTTCCATCAGACCCTCCTCCACTCTCATTATAATCCCCTCCCTCCCTTTTCTCCTTCTTCCTTTCCATCTTTCCTTCTTTTCCTTTGTCTTTCCTTTTCCCTTTTCTCCTTTCCTGTCCCTTCTTCCATGTTTAAATGCAAAAGGGAAAATGTTTCCTCTTTTGTTTTGTGTTTAGTTTGTTTTGCTAGCCCTCTGCCAAAGTAAATGGAGCCCACTCCCACACGCAGCCCTCCCGAGCTCCATTTTCACTGGCAGAGGCACCCCGTTTCCAGGGTGGCCCCACGGCCCAGGTCTAAGCACTTTATTTGACACCCCTGGTTTAGAACAAACAACTACACTTTCTCTGGGTTCTTCGCTTTCCTATTGTTCAGACACCCTATTCAAAATATTACAGAAGTATTGCACTACAAATTCTCCTCTTTTCCAGCCCATTCCGACTGTTGTAAGCTGTGCAACAACACATTTAGATTACAAAAAGCTTCCAGTTAATAGTTCCACACACCCCATCCGATTGGACACCTTAACATCTTGGTCTATGCTTCCCACTAATCTGTAATGTGATCTCTTTGTTTTTGGTTAGTCTATTGTGTAAAACCTACCTAATAAAGTGAGGTTTATTCAGGAAAAGAAAATATATGCTGCCAGACTAAAGTTCTTTTTTGCAATACAGGACTGTGTTGGGAAAAGCCTACAGCATTGAGTTTAGGATAGAGGTGGTGTTGTAATTACATATAATGCAGGCTTCTTACAGATTCAATAATAAGTGGAGAAATTATTTCGATTTTGATTTATATTGGCTCAAAATGGAACGTTACTATGTGACAAAAGTTATTTCACTTCCACGTGCCACTAATTGATATATTACCAATCTAAGTGGCAATCATTTGAATTCCAGTGGACTTCTTCATATGCTGCGGCTGCTCCTTGTATAATGTTGGGCTTGTTCCCAGGCACTGAGTACCTAATCAGGCATAATAATTATCCTTATGGATTGAAAGGATAGGCTGTCCTAGCAGATTATTGGTGAGACTAATTGAGATTAATAATATAGGACTACTTAACTGCAATCCTCTCAATTTTTTCTTTGACATGATGACATTGGATTCGTTTAAATTATGAAATGTTGTAAACACATGTAATTATGTTATTGTGCAATTATATATTAAATTATATGTCATTCAAGTAAAATAATACCTTCTTTGATTTTAAGGTTGGCCAATCACTCTTGGAATAGAATACTGAATTACAGAATAACAGAGTTGGAACGGACCTTGGAGCTGTTCTAGTCCAATCTCCTGCTCAAGCAAGAGAACTTATACCAGGGGTATCAACTCAAGGCCCATGGGCCAAGTGCACCTGTGGGGGGGGGGGTGCATAGATCTGGCCCATGGGGCCAGCCTGGAAACCACGAAGGGCCAGCCCACAGTGCCTTTGCCAGCAAAAACGGAGCTTGGGGGTAGCCACACGCAAGCTCCATTTTGCTGGCAGAGGGCTGCAGGGAGCTGTCATGGCCGAAAATGGGGCACTGGGGGATACACATGTCCCACCCCCAGTCTCCGTTTTCATTGGCAGAGGGCTAGCAAAAACAAACTAAAAACAAAACAAGAGGAGAAATATTTCCCCTTTTGCATTTGAGCATGCAAGAAGGGACAGGAAAGGGAAAAGGGAAAGAGGAAAGACAAAGAAAAAGAAAGGAAGATGGGAAGAGTGCAAGGAAGGAAAGGGGAAGGAAGGAAGGAAGGAAGGAACGAAGGAAGGACGATTGTAATGAGAGTGAGGGAGGGTCTCAGGGAAGTCCTGCCTTAGCACTTGGCCACCACAGGTGCCCCTAACACTAGTGATATCAAGCTGACCATGGCCACGTCCACCCAAGGCCCTCCAAGATCAAACACAACCCTGATGCGGCCCTCATTGAAATTGAATATGACACACCTGCCCTATACCATTCGTGACAAATGGCTGTGCCCAGTCTCTTTTTAAAAATCTGCAGTGATGCAGCACCCATAACTTCTGAAGAAGACGTTCCACCAATTAATTGTTTTCTCTGACGGAATTTCTCCAGAGACCTCAACCTCTTTAAGAGATGGGATAGAGAATAAGAAACAAACTTTTCCTGTTGTCTCTATATTGTATGCATGGGTTGGATCCAGAGGTGGGCTGCACTTTCATTGACAAGGGGTTTGCTGGTCGTGCGCGGCAAGCGGTGCTTTGGGTCTGATACACAGCTTCAAGCAGGCAGCTAACTGACTCAGGCAGCTCCAGTGAGTACAGCAGGGCAGCACAGAACTCACCTGGGCAGCCTGGGTGGGGGAAAACTTATTTAGGGAAAGTATAGCACAAGGGCAGGTGGGCCCGAACCTCACCGACCACCCAGGAGCCCACCACTGGTTGAACCCATTCACTCATATATAATGTGGCATGTTGAGTTTCTGGATTTCACAACAAACCTTGACGAAAACAAAATATGGGTCGGTGTGTTCAAGAACTATAGGTACAGGTTCTTTGACTGTGTCACTCCCTCTTTTCTCTCTTCTTTCTACAGATAAGTCAAGAGGAGAACATGACCAATAGGTTTAAACTTCAGGCCCTAATCTACCCTGTCCTTCAACCTTTTGATTTTAACACTCCTTCATACCAACAGAACAAATTCAGCCCAATCCTAACCCCTTCAGTGATGGTGGAGTTCTGGGTAGAGTATTTCAATGGAAGTTATGATTTTGTCCAGTCCATGTTGATGAACAATCATACCTCTCTGGATGTGAGCGAGGCCAATTTCTTCAGAGACCGACTAGACTGGACTTTCCTTCTGCCTTCAAGATTCAGGAAGAACTACAAACTCATAGCTCCTACCACAGGGAAACCTGAAATCATCCAGAATATTCCTGCCCTATTAGATGCCCGTGCAAGCCCGCTTCTAGCTGACAAAGAGCTTTTACGCCTGCAGCCCAAAACCTATATTATGACTTGTGAGATTGATATTCTGAGAGATGATGGTCTCATGTATGCCAAGCGGCTAGAGAAAGCCGGTGTGGAAGTCACCATTGACCACTTTGAAGACTGTTTTCATGGCTGCATGCTCTTCACCGTTTGGCCACTTAATTTTTCTGCAGGATTTCACACCAGAGACAGCTATCTCAAGTGGCTGAATGAAAGCTTGTAAACAGAAAAAGGTCAGTCTCCAGAAAAGCAATCCATGCTACTCATCTGAAGACATCGCTTAAGAGAACTTCCAGTACAGGATAGCATGCTTCCCTGTACATATTCCTTGATGACATAATTTATGGAGAAAAGTCTTGTGTAATCTCCAGATCCAATTCTAAATGTATTTGCAAGGAAATAAATCTGGTCTTAATGAAGGCAGTAGAAAAAAGGGGGCTAAATAATCCATATCCCTGCACACCACAAGACAAAAATGGTATTTGTGAATATAGTTTTATATAAAAGTTTCTTCAAGAACCCTGACAAATCAGTGAAAAAAAACAGCCAGTCCTAATCTTGATTTCCTATGCTGATTTTCTATATACAAGAAGAGTTTTTTTTCTCCCTATGGGTATTCATGAGGAATGGGGCAAAGTTGCCCCTGTACACCATTATTACGCTTATCAGGCATCAGAAAGAAAAATGTAGGAAAGACGTAGCTCATTGCTAGAGGATACGTTTTGAGTGCAGAAGGAACCAAATCCATTCCATCTCTAGAAGTGTGCAAAATAATCCATTCTTAGTAATACCATAAAAGCTCACTGGAAATGTTCTGTTATTGCCTTATACATCCTATTGGAAGTGATCCAATTTTTTAAAAAAATCGATTTTGAGGGGAGCTGAATCTTTTGTGACCTTGGAACATTTTTGCATATCTTTTAATTCCCAGCATCCCAGGGAAACAAAATGGCCTGTAACCTTAGAAACATACTATTCATTCATTTAGGTAGTTTCTAAAGGGGTCTAAACAGATTCCTAGAGAATAGCAATGTCTGTGGTAATTAATGGCTTAGTTGGTGCAATGGAGTCTCTAACCACCAGATTCATAGGAACATTGGGACAGGAAGCTGCCATAATCTGTGGGCTTGCTAAAGCTTCTAATGGGCCACTGGGAGTTGAATACTACCAAATGGGTGTGCTGCCCCACTCCCACCCCAGCCAGAGCGCTACAGGAGTTTATTGAAAAATAACCCAACAGGTGCTCAGAAAGCACCCCCATTGCACAGATCCCAAGCTCAGCAAGGCAAGAGACACTAGGTAATTGAGTCCAACAGGCGCGTGCACAAAGTGCAAGAAAGCAGCCCACAATTCAAAAGGGTCAGGATACACAACATAAGGCACAGAACTGGGCACATTGCTCCAACAACACTCAAGTCCTTAGGTTGGGATTAAGGTTGCCTCCTTGTGAGTAGTCTAACTGACCAACATTGTGCCTGTCTCCTCTCTGCTCTACATGTTCTTGGGTCAGGAGTTGTGGACTCCACTTCCTCATTGCTAATTGGCAGCAGCTGCTCCTGGTCCTTACCTGGAGCCTCCTGGCCAACTTGCTGCAGCTGTGGCTTGCCTACCTCAATCTTAGCCTGTCATTCCCCCATTGGCCCAGGCTAGCACCCTCTAAGCCCCGATCCTGACCAATACGCGACTCCACACTTTCCTCTGCAGATTCAAACTCACCCCTCCTTCTCTGAACTCACATCTGAAGAGGGTTCCAGGGGAGGATCCATGACAATGATCTTAGACTTGATCAGGCAGGACTCAAGTGTTATGTTTTCATGTCAGCATTGACAATGCTAAACTAAGTGGATCAAGGTCCAAGCAAATATATGGGGCACAAAGTAGTTTGTTTAGTTTTGGCTGACTGTTTTGTGTGAACCCAACCAATGGTAGCTTATTCAGTCAACTACAGCTAAACGATGATTTAGCATGATAGGTGAGCCCATTCATTGTGTTACATACCTGTAGCAATAGATGGCATCGTATTTGCAAAATAGCACGGGTCACTCTAAGTCAGGGGTCTTCAAACTTGACAGCTTTAAGACTGTTGGACTTCAACTCCCAGAATTCCTCCCCCACTCATGTTAGCTCAGGTATTCTGGGAGATGAAGTTCACAAGTCTTAAACTTGCCAAGTTTGAAGACCCTTGTTCTAAGTCTTCTTGCCTCTCTCTAAGCATGATCTCGCACAAAATCATTGAGATCCCATGAGATTTGGAAGCCTCATGAGAGCTGGGTAATTTTGCAACTTTGATTTGGGAATGGGGGGGTCAAAGACTCAGTACTGATAATTGTCTTGGTTCTTGTCGGTACTGTATTATCAACCCTTGTACTAACATATTCTGGTGTACCTGAATTCTAAATAATGTTACTTGTTGCAACACTTGCTTTGCCTGCATGCAAATATATGTGAAACACTGGATTCCAAACCTTTTTGGAGATGACACACATATTTAAAATTCAGAGTAGGTCTAAGTATGCGTGCAAAATCATTAATAGCAATAGCGCTTGCGTATGAGAGAAGCAGTTGCCAAATTGGCTTGATGCTTCTGTCACCAGTCCAGAAGCTCTCTCCTTAGCACATTTTCCAGTAAATGCCAACCACTTATAAGTTAGATGGATTCTCAGTTTGGGACAGAAACACCACTCAAGAGCAGATGGATTTCTAACCACTAGCAGCAATTTTAAGTAAGTCACTAGAGTAGGTTGGCACCATGTTTGTAGGTCTGAGGCAGGAATGTGGTCTAGGCCAGGAGCACTAGAGTCTATGTCCTACAGAGCCATGGTGACCTCTGACAAGGTGATGATATGCAGAATGGACCACGGCACTGTAGATCAAGAGTGTCAAACTCAATTTTATTGATGGCTGCATCATTGTGTTTGATCTGGGGGCAGGGGCCAGCATGATGTCATTTGTGTTGGCGCCTGTGGTGGCCCGAGTGCTCTGCCAGTGAAAACAGGCTCCCGAGCTCAGTTTTCAGCTGTGATGGCCTCCTGCAACTCTCTGCCAATGAAAACAGAGCTCAGGAGGGCTGCACGTGGCCCTCAGAAGCTCTGTTTTCATTGGAAGAGGTACTGCAGGTCAGTCCTTTGCTATTTCCAGAGTGGCCCCATGGGCCACATCTAAGTACCCCATGGGCCGGATCTGGTCCTCAGGCCTTGAGTTTGACAACCCTACTGTAGATGATTATGCAGATTATTCATCGTTGTGTTCTGACCCAGCCTTAGCAGAACCAAGAAACATTCCCTGTCCCGAAAAACCCCTCTTTAATTTAGCTACTGTGAATTCATGGCATTCACACACAGAAATGTCCATGCAGTAATCCTTCCAAGGGTTAACTGAAGTACAGACCTTATGAGTTCCTTGGATAATTGCCAGGCCAGAGCATCCAGCCACAAATTAAAAAATAAACTCTCTCAAGCAGTCTCTGAAACAGGAACCTCAATGAACAAATCTTCCAAAAGAAATCCAAGCAGTTGCCTCCTACAACACCACTCCCCTTTTGCTTTTATTTATTCCCTAGCCAGGGAGGGACCATTCAGCATCCAGGTGTGCTTTTCTTCCTGAGTCAGCTCCTGCTCCTCAGTTGTTCTCCTCTCCTGACAGCTTTGCGCATACACGCATCTGGAACAGGCCCCAGCTGTTCTTCTTCCCCACTTATCTCCAACTCCAAAGGCAGGTGGGACATATTGGACCCCCATGGCTATCTCTGCTTCTAATGCTGAGCATCCATCAGAGTCTTCCCCAGACTCCAGGACTGGCCCAAGTTCCTCCCCAACCTCTTCATTGTCCGAGTCTACCACCAGCTCTGTTGGTGGGCCACAACACATTCATGGAACTAAGGGTCTGGAAGACTGATGACCAGTAGCTCTTCAACTCTGATGGGACAAGAGTGAGGTCTCAGTACGCATTTCTCCAGTGTCCTGACAATATGGGGAATTTTGTGAGTTGAAGTTCACACATCTTAAAGTTGCCAAGATTGAGAAACACAAATCTGATTTTTTTTCAATGATGGCGGAGAACTAAACGGTGCCAAGAAAGCTCTTTGCAAGGAACATATGGGGACTCCAGGGGTCAATGCACTGAATGAAATGGGACGTGTTTCTGTGTTGGTTGTCTATAAATCACTTTTTTAATGTCAAGACTAATGCAAGCAGTTTGCTCCTTATAGGATTTGGCAGCCTTTTGTTATGTTTGCCTTCCTACAATGGGATTACATATTGATCCAAGAGTTGTCTTTGTGCAAGTTTTTCAAACCTTTGTGTTGTTGTACAAATATATTGCAAACTAAGTGAGCACTCTTCTCAGTCCCATGTAATAAGGGCTTTAGAGCAATCCTATCCATAGTCATATCTTGGTCCATCGCTTTTTTTAGGTGACCAGTGATTGGTTCTTTGGTTGAATAATCTAGGCGTGCTTACTCAGAAGAAAGCAGGAATCATAGCAATGTAAGGGCTAGCCAATAGCCAACCAGATATTCTCTAAGCAATTCGTCTTGTAGCAAAATATAAATTACATTAATCCCTTCCCCCAAAAAGAGGAGTGGTGGAGAGCAAAGCATTGCCTGATGAAACCACAGAGAGTGGTCCGTAACTTAATTTCCAAATTGAAATAGAGGTCATGAAGTTATATGCATGAATATGGAATCCCTTGCTTGGGAAGAGGACTATATTATAGGTTCGTGCTTGCTAAGCTAAAGATGCTTCTGCTCTGGCCTAAGTCGGTGATTGATTGGTTTCTAGTACAAATAGAAGTTAAGTCCTTGACTTAAGACTACTCATTTAACGACTGCTTGAGATTACAATGATGCCTCAAAGTGATCTCTTTTTGGATTGAAGCTTCCTTATTGTTATGGGTAATTGTTTTTTCTGGTTTTTGGAGTTGTTATTGGTACATATAGTTTGATGATTCTTTTGACTTCCAGTAAAAATATGTTGTAATGGTCTTCAACAGTATTGCATCCAGTGAATAGAAATTGCCAATCAAGGGATGAGAGATCATTGTCTATAAGATCATAGTTGCCTTTTTTGAAGTTATAATTGGGGATCACATCGTTGTGTTGATTTTTGTGTGGACGAATATTGAGACAAAAGTCAATCATGCTGTAGTCACTGTTGGAAAAAGGTTCTTTAATTTGTATTCCATAAATTGAATTCAAACTATTGCAGAATTGTTAAGTCTAGTATTGTTGGTCCAGTCCCAGGTTTGTTACAGCATTGTAGAAGGTTGCATGTATGTGTTCAGTTTTACATTCGTTTAGGGTCCAGTTAATGTGAGGTAGATTGAAGTCACCAAGAAAGATAAAAATGTGTGGGCAGGATGTTGCCCATGTTAGTAGTGTATTTAGCTTGTTTACATGTTCAATGTCATAATCAGGGGCTCTATAACATAGTAAGAATCTAAATGTGATATTTAAGGACAGTTCGCAGATGATGGTCTCTTGGGTAACTTGGATGTTTTTTAGATGTAAGGACATTTTATAGAAGATAGCAACACCACCTCCTCTACGGATTTCATGATCTGATTGGTAAACATGATAGTCTCTTACTGTGGTAATGGAGTCAGGGAGAGATGCACTGAGCCATGTTTCACAGACAAATATGATGT